ACGCGACATTTATAAAACGACCGTGTAAGAAATCGACCGTTCAGAGCACAAAAATCTTGTATCACGTTCGTATAACGATATAGGACTCCGCGATCTCATTCCAGCCTTAACGACTGCTTCTTCGCGTGTCCGATCGTTTTCCATCAAAGACGAGTTGTGCTAAGCTATAGTTGTGTAAAGCTACTCTCATCGTGTTGTTATTCACTAATAAAGATTGGCATTACTTGTTAAGTTTAATTATTGCACGTGCTCAAATTATTTACAACCACAAGTCGGTCCTTGATCATCAGCCCGTGTTCGCGCGCCCTGCGCTGGGTGTACCGGTGGAAGCGGAATTAATAACACCTATAAGTCCGCGTACATAAATTTTGGTCCTTCGAGCCGGATCCGGAGCACGGTTACACTGTGAACTCAATACTGAATCGGACCGACGAGCCATGGCTGATCCATTGCACCGCCAACTGCAAGGCAAGCGCATGATCGAGAGATCGCTGGAGAATTTCAAAAAGCTCGGTCGAAACAACTGGACACCTGCGAAAATTCGGTCAAGGATGTCCATGCTCAAGGAGAACTGGAAGCAATTTGTGGAAGGCCATGCTCTCTTGCTGAAGACGGTTCCTGAAGCTACGAGAATGTCGCTGGAATACTTCAAGGACGGATTCTTCGAGGCCACGGAGGAGGCGTACGCCGACACGCACGACTTCATGACGGAATGCTTGGAGGAAGTGGAGCCATGCGTGAGTCAAACGCCTTTTGTTGAATCAAGAGCGCAGTCCTCTTCATTTTCGGTCTCGCATCTCCCGTCTATACGATTACCACCGTTTGACGGTCGTTACGAAGATTGGGAACAATTTCGCGATCGATTTACTACGTTAATAATTCACAATAAATCGCTAGACGACTTCGCTCGCATGCATTTTGTAACGTTTTGTATAACGGGTCGCACGCTCGAATCTATCGGAAATCTCTCTGTAACCGCTGCAAATTTTGACATCGCGTGGCAAGCCTTGGTCAAGCGATACGAAAATAAGCGTCGGTTAATTACTCAGCATCTTTCGACGTTGCTCCAGCTTCCGACAATTTCTCGAGAATCGGCGATCGAGCTGCAATCAATGCTGGATAAAGTAAATATCGCGGTCGCCTCGTTGCAATCACTCAATAGAAACCCGGACGCGCTCTGGAATGACTTGCTCGTACACGTCGTGGTCAGCAAGTTAGACTCAGTCACTCGCAAGGCGTGGAATCTTAAACCGACCGAGGGTGACGAGCCGCCGTCGTTCGCGGATTTAACGCATTTCCTTAGAAATCGCACTCGCGCTCTCGAGGAGTTTGCCAGTGGGCCGGTTCACAAGCCAGCGTCGAAATCGATCTCTGCGGCAAGAGTGCACTTAGCCACTGCGTCCGAGACATCTCCATCCGCATGCCCACTCTGTCAAGGCATTATTTTAGTGCATGTCCAGTGTTCACTCGCGCGAATCCAAGTCAACGTCGCGACTTAACAAAGCAACATCGTCGATGCTTCAATTGTTTTAGTAAGAATCACGCGGTACGGGACTGCCGCAGCAAGTACTCGTGTCGAATGTGTACTCAGAGACATCATAGCATGTTACATCTAAATTCGGATTCGCGCGATGAACAATCCGGAGCATCGTCCGCCGCTAGCCGGCCGACTCCTGCCGTCGAGCCTCAATCCGACGTGCGAGTGTCTCACACCGCCACGCTTCACAAATCATTAAATCAAATTCTACTCGCGACGGCATGGGTCACCGTAAGCGTGTCGGCCGGACGCACCGTAGCGGTAAGAGCGTTGCTTGATCAAGGCTCGCAGGTTACTTTTCTTGCGGAAAATATCGCTCAACTTCTACGCGCTAAACGAAATCGCTTGCCTATATCGATCTCCGCTGTAGGAGCGGTGCACGCGGGCACTGCGCGATTTACGACCAACATTACGGTTTCACCGCTCAACTCGCTTACACCGGCATACTCAACAAGCGCGGTAATTCTCAAAGATCTCACTTTGTATGCGCCCCAACGGCAACTAGATCTCACGCATTTTCCTCATTTGAATGGGTTATCCCTCGCCGATCCTGATCCCACGAGCAGCGATCCTATTCATTTAATCATCGGGTCGGATTTATATAATGAGATAGTTCTGGACGGCCGTCGCAAGGGCACGCCAGACCAACCCACAGCTCAGAATTCCATTTTTGGCTGGATCTTGTCAGGCCCTGTTCCATCATTATCCGAACCTTTGTCGACATCTTCAGCTAATGTTAGTCGAAAACGGACAGCCTTCACCTTGTCAGTGCATCACTGTTTGATTTCGCCTTCGCTCAGTGACGAAATTAGAAAATTTTGGGAGGTTGAGGAGATTCCTCGTCAAATTTCGCGGTCGGCGGAGGATGAGCAATGCGAACAGCATTTCCTCACCACGCATTCTCGGACGATTGATGGCCGTTATGTCGTTCGGCTTCCTTTCCGGAAGGGTCCGCCGGTGGACATCGGAGATTCGCGCAAGAAAGCTCAAATTCTTTTAAAATCATTATCACGCCGGTTAAAATCTCAGCCTGCGCTGTTCGCGGAATATGACGAGTTCCTAAAAGAATACGAACAGTTAGGTCACATGCGCCTTGTACCAGCACCCTCAGATACTGACGAACAATACGTATACATACCTCACCATCCGGTTATTAGAACTGATAGCGCGACGACGCATTTGAGAGTCGTTTTTAATGCCTCCAGTTTAACAACTAATCGTTCAAGTTTAAACGACCACTTGCTTTGCGGTGAAAAACTTCAGACTGATCTTGCGGCGGTAATAACTCAATGGCGTCGATTTAAATTCGTATACACCGCCGACATCGCAAAAATGTACCGCCAGATTTCTCTCGATCAACGCGATTGCAATTATCAGCGTATTCTTTGGAATCGGTCGCTCAACAAACCACCTTCGGACTATCAACTCCGTACCGTCACATATGGTCTGACCTGCGCTCCATTCTTGGCTCTTCGAGT